TGTCCGACTCTAATACCATTTATAATTGTGAGGAAAGAATAACAAAAATGTTCGTGTTTGGTGTGACTCAAGAAGGTTTACTTCAAACAAAATTATGTTTTGTGACCTCTTAGTAATTTTCTTAAAGTGCATGAGTACCGACAAATGTTCGTGTTTGTTTAAGGGATAGTTTTTACTCTTAGAGCCAAAATGTCAAACTAAATTCCGTTAAAATTCCGACCCATTATTCAAATAATTAAAAGGATAAGAATTAAAATTAAAAATCAACAATTTAAATGGAGAAAAATAGAAAGTTATAAATTATGGGTAATTTTAAGCGGCCTACCTTTATAATATGAAAAAGAACACAAAAATTCAAGGCGTGGCTTTTTATTTTAATTTAATACAGTATTCCACGTAGGTCTACACTCTAGACTATAGGTTAAATAAAAACTATAATATATTTCTATCAAATATGAATACAATTCCCACACGCTAAAATAATTCTAATAAAATGGATTAAAAGGTCTTTCTTTATTATTATTCTCTTTTCTCTTCACGTGTAATTAATATATATATATATTCAATTTCAAAACTTCTTTTGTTCACTATAATTTTACTCCACCACTTTTTTTCTCCTTTTTGTGGGAAATAAAGTATTTCATCATTGATTTAAAAAAATAATAATTAAAATAAATGTAACCATGAAATAATTATTTTTTAAAAGAATGAAATAGTATATAAAAACTATAATTACGAGTTTATAATAAATTTAAAAATATATTTGAAAAGAAAAAAAGGGAATTATATATATATAGAAGCATGGGATGGGTCGGGAAAGTCAAGATTCACTTACGGTTCATTCATTCATAGCATCTGTCTGAGGACAGTGAAGAAATCGTTTATTTATTTATTTTCTTAAATTAATTATATATATTTTTTGAAAGATACTTTTCCAATGGTGGCCCGTGATTGCAATGCAAGAAGGGCACGCAAAATATTGACACCGTGGACAGTGGACCATTTTAATTATTGTAAAGCTCACCGCACTACATCCCCCTCTTACCCCCATTATTATTATTTTTTATTATTATTATTATTACACCTCCCTTTATTTCTGACTTTTAAGTTAAATTCTTCATTTCCGCTATTTAAATTAAATTTATCACTTTTTGTTTTCCTGTTTTTATTTATTTATGAATTTCTAGACGTAATTTAAATTCAAAATTGGAGTTATGACTTCCTAAAAGGTCTCGTACCAATATCACTCTTTACTTATAAAGTCATCATCATTCCCTCCAATCTATCGGTAAATCCTCAAATATCGAACAAAGAACTCCAAAAGAAAAGGAGTTAAGCCTTCTTGAAGGCATAGTAAAAAATGACTAAGACTCCAAAGGAGTCGAGGCTGGATTAAGGGAAGACGTACTTTGTTTGAGGGTAAGTGTTGGATGATGAAAGTCTCACGTCGACGAATTTAGGGAATGGTTATGAGTTTGTAATCAAAGAATACTCTCTCCGTGAGGCCTTTTGGGGAAGCGGTGGGACTCTATTAGTAGGATTAAAGAGTATAGCAATACAATCAAGTTTATAGTTTATATTTATAATCGTTAAAAATATTCTTAATGGGGAAAAATTAAGGAAAACAAAAGAGAGTAAAATTGTGTAAGATAAAGTTGGTAATGGCAATAATTGATTAATTAAATAATAAATTAATAAATTAATCCAGAAGAGCATAACCCCATCCTTCCGGGTGCCTTTTAACCGCCTTCCCAACCCAGCCCAGACAGCGCCAGCTAAATTCAACTCCCTTCAAAAAAAAAAAAAAAGAAAAATTCAAAAAGTTGATCTAATAATAATAAAAATAAATAAATAAATAAATAAAAGAAAAGGAGAAAAGGAGAAAAGCCACGTCATCAGGAAAATGGCACCTTTTTATAGGAATGTCCACAACTCCCAAATAACCCATCTCTCTCTCACACACTCACTCAGTAGTTGTTGTTGTTGTTGTTCGGGCATGGAAGAACAACAAAGGTGTGCGACAATGCAGAGTCCAAGCAGAGAAGAAAGAGATGCGGACACCAAATCCAGAAAAGGCGGCCTCCTAACCATGCCCTTCATCATAGGTACGTACGCACACCACCAATTCCCCAAATCCGAGTCACAGAGATGTCATTTAAAGTTGTTGTTATATGTTGTTGTTGGGCGCGCGCAGCCAACGAGTCGTTCGAGAAAGTGGCCAGCTACGGGCTGCTCCCCAACATGATACTCTACTTAATGAAGGATTACAACATGGGATTTGCGGAGGGGAATAACATCCTCTTCTTCTGGTCTGCGGCTATCAATTTCATGCCTCTCCTTGGCGCGTTTCTCTCCGATTCTTATTTGGGTCGGTTTCTCACCATTGGGCTTGGCTCCATTGCTAGTTTCCTGGTACTTTCTTCTCTCTTTATTAATAATAATAATTTAATGTGTCGGTGAAAAAATATAGAAAATTGCGACATGGGTTATTGAGTTCAGGGTATTCCAACTCTGGATCTCGCATTTATTACTTTCAAAATTTCGAACATTATTAAACTGCACTGTTTTTGCTTGCTTTTTACGGTTTGTTTTTTTTTTTTTTTTTTGAAAAATTGAAGAAATTTATTTACTGTTTCTTTTTAGGAAGATCTTCTGGTTCTTTGTGGAATTGAGTTTCAGAGTGGGGCTGTTGGATTTTGGATTCACGTTTTTTTTTTTTTTATTATTTATAATTTAAATCCAATTTTTTAAGCTTTTGTGTAATAAAGGTGTCAGTGATGAGATGGGATAATACTTTACTGTTTTTTCTTTTTATATTATTATTATTCTTCCTCTGGTGGGTCTTCATTCTACATCTCACTTTTTCTTTTTAAAAAAATAAAAATAAAATCATGAAGTTAAATTTTTGGAATTTTATTCATTTTATGATTAATTAATTTATTTTAAACTGTATTTTTATTAATTTTGTTAAGGTTAAAAAAAGTTGAAGGAGTTTTTTTTTTAATTTATATATATATATATATATATATATATATATATATATATTATTTTTATTGGTTTGTAGAAAAAAGGTGAAATACAAATTTTATTTTTTAATTTTTAACCTTTGAAAATATCAAAACAATTGGATTTTACGACGTCGTTTTGTTATCTATTCTCTTACTCCAACAGGGCATGTTACTGCTATGGCTAACGGCGATGATTCCGGCTACGAAACCAACGGTCTGCGACCAGCTCCACCCGGAAACCTGCCGATCTCCAACGGCAGCCCAATTGACCCTTCTTGCCGCTTCCTTCACGCTAATGTCCATTGGAGCCGGCGGTATCCGGCCGTGCACTCTGGCTTTCGGCGCCGACCAAATTGACCGGCGGGATGATCCTAACAACAAGAGAATACTGGAGAGATTCTTTGGGTGGTACTACGCATCGGCTTCATTTTCAGTTCTGATTGCATTGACCGGAATCGTTTACATTCAAGATCACGTCGGTTGGAAAGTGGGTTTCGGCGTTCCGGCGAGCCTTATGCTAGTGGCCACCGTTTTGTTCTTTGCAGCTTCGTCGATTTACGTGAAACAAAAGGCGACAAAGAGCTTGTTTAGTAGGTTAGCGCAGGTCGCCGTCGCGGCGTTCAAGAATCGGAAAATAGCGCTTCCGTCGGCGTCGGGGTCGGCGTCGAATAAGTGGTTTTATCATACGGATTCTTGTTTTACTCAACCCTCTGATAAGCTCAGGTAATTAAAATTAATTTAATTTATATTATGTGTTTCTTGGTGTTGTGACAATTAATGTTAAGCATGTGGTTTTTAGTTAATGATTAAAGTGCCTTTCGCTTTTAGAAGCAGAGTATATGTGTTTTTCTTTATTCTAAAAGTGCGGTTTCTTTAGAATTACTTTAATCAAACTCCTTGAATTTATGATTTGGTTAATTAATTTCGATTAATGTTAAATGGGTTTTGTTTAGATTTTTGAACAAAGCATGTGTGGTGAAGAATCCAGAGCAGGACATAGCAGCAGACGGCACAGCTGCAGATCCATGGAGTCTGTGCACGGTGGAGCAAGTCGAAGAACTCAAAACCCTAATCAAAGTGATACCCATTTGGTCCACCGGCGTGATGATGTCGATCAACATCAGCCAGAGCTCATTTCCTCTTCTTCAAGCTAAATCCATGGACCGTCACATCTCCTCCACTTTCCAGATTCCGGCGGGCTCCTTCGGCACCTTTGTAATTATCACCATAGTCATCTGGGTCATTCTCTATGATCGAGCTATTCTCCCTCTTGCCTCCAAGATTCGAGGAAAGCCAGTCCATTTCGGAGTCAAATCTCGAATGGGAGCTGGCTTGGTTTGCTCTGCTATGTCCATGGCGCTTTCGGCCATCGTTGAGAATATCCGCCGCGGAAAAGCGATAAGACAAGGCATTGTGGATGACCCCAACGCTGTCGTGAACATGTCGGCTATGTGGCTGGTTCCGCAGCATTGTTTGAACGGATTGGCCGAAGCGCTAAATGCGATTGCCCAAACGGAGTTTTACTACTCTGAATTCCCCAAGACAATGTCCAGTGTTGCTTCTTCGCTGTTCGGAATGGGAATGGCGGTGGCTAATTTGTTGGCGAGTGCGATTATGAGCACTGTGGATAATGTGACTTCAAAAGGGGGAAAAGAGAGCTGGGTTTCGAAGAACATAAACAGAGGGCATTTCGAGAATTACTATTGGCTGCTTACGATTCTGAGTGTGATCAATGTGTTGTATTATGTTGTTTGTAGCTGGGCTTATGGACCGAGTGTGGACCAGAGAAGAACCGCCATGGATGACGGCAAGATCAGCTCCCACGAGGAAGAGTTGTCGATGTTGGAAGCTAGAGTAAAGGAAGAAGGAGAGTTGCAGAAGCCCAAGGAATTGCAGGCTTGAATATGGAGTTGTGTGTGGGTGTGTGTGTGTGTGTATATATGTTCTTTTTGTGGTCTCAGTGTAATATTTGTTTGATCAAACAGCCAAAAAGGGGCATAATCATATTTGATATATAATCCTAAGCTTGCATTTGAGATTTAGATTGATCCTACTGCGACGAAATTCCTCATTTCTCCGAGTTCGACCCGTTTCAATAACATTTTTCGTATGATCTTTCGGTATAACATAAACGAAGCTAATAAATTATGAACAGTAGAGATTACAAGTTCTCAAATAATGAAATACTAACAAAATGGTTGGTGTTCTTCTGCCAGCTTTTTCTTCAACTCTTTCTTGTTCACCTGCAGAGTTCAAGAGAAGTTTCAGTCTCAACCAGACAGAGAATGAACTAAAGAGATGAGCATTTCTGTTGTAGATTGCAACCGACCTTTCCCATGGCGTTCCGAGGCAGCGAGTCCTTCAACAATAACACGGTCGGTATCTGGAAAAAAGGTGTAGTTATATTGTTAAACCAGGCTGCCTTTCACACTGAAATGGCAGTTTTAACAGCTAAAAACACCACTATGGATTGATTACATTACCTTGTATGGAGCAAGCTTGTCTTTAGCCCATGTGCGGAGATCATCTAAGCTCATATTAGGCTTGGATTGATCAGGCGGCGTTGCTTTAGAGTTAGGGTGAAGCACAATAATTGCACACACACGTTCTCCATAGTCTTTGTCTGGTAATCCCAACACACAACATTCTATGACAGACGGATGCTGCACAAAGTGATTTGGGCGGTGGTCATTTCATGTTTTTTATTCTTCCTTTCTTTGTGGTGGGTGTGGGTGTGGGGGTTTGTCTTTCACTTTCCTTCAGATAAAGAGAACGAGAAAAAAGAGAATAGAAGGAGCAATGGGGTTACCTGCAAAATCACTGATTCGATCTCTAATGCCGATAACTTATATCCCCCGACTTTCATGATATCGGCACTCATACCTGAATCGTTAGACAAAGGTGAATGTCAAATTACATAGAAATAAGATTGATATGAAATGCAACAGCTAAAGCCCACCGCTAACAAATATTGTCCTCTTTGGGCTACGGAGAGGTTTCCACACCCTTATAAAGAATGCTTCGTTCTCCTCTCAACCGATGTGGGATCTCACAATCCACCTCCCTTTGGGGGGGGCAGCGTACTCGCTGGCACTCGTTCCCTACACCAATCAATGTGAGACCATTGCTGGCACATTGCCTCATGTCCGCCCCTTTCGGGGTTCAGTCTCCTCGCTGGCACATCGCCCAGTGTCTAGCTCTAACACCATTTGTAATTTGTAATAGCCCTTTCTGTTTCAGGCTTCCTCTCAAGGTTTTTAAAACGCGTCTGCTGGGGAGAGGTTTCCACACTCTTATAAAGAATGCTTCGTTTTCCTCTCTAACTGATGTGGGATTTCACATGAAATGACTGAACTTTAATAGATGATGTTGAGACTCGGACCCCCACAGCTCACATGCAGGTATTAGAAGGCTGGCAATGGCTAACCTTTTCCTTTTCGGTAGAAACAACTTCATCCATGATATGAAATTACAAAGAATAAAGAAGCGGGAGGGAAAGATGCGACAGGTATTAGTTACACAGTTACAGAGTTCAAGAAAAAGAATAGTGGGACACCGATAAGTTAATGGTGGGGTACTTCAAAGTTATCTTGTTATTGGCTAAACTCAACTATAGGAGAGAGCTGCAGGGCCACTGAAAATATACAAAATTTACATGTCAATTCTACTGCCTATTGTAATTTGCGAGTGTGGGAGCATAGCACCAAACTAGCCTAGCTGACAAGAGCATGAAGCTCAGCAAGCTAATGTTTTCAAACACGATATGAACACACAAAAACATCTTTGAAATGCTTTGTTAACAACACCTAGCTGTCAGATGCATGTACCACCGTACTCCTACAGGACTAGCAAAGATGGGACACCAAAGGATCCCACGACACTCTAATGCTCCACAAGGAATAAGACACCATGTTTTATTCAACAGGGTAGAAGACAATGCTAGTTGTCTACTTGGTATCAATTCATTACTTAATCACATGCTCAGACCAGAAAACATGTCATCTGATAAGCAGGTCATAAAAGTGAAGAGTAAAAGCAGAGCCAGTTTATGAACTATGAACTATAATCGTAGCGTATTGGCACGAGGTAAATAATATGGTAACTTACGTCCTAGTATGGTGTAGTAACCATCTTCATCAAGTCTAGCAGCATCTCCTGTTTTGAAGAATCCACCATCAATGAATGATTCCTTGGTAACCTACAGAAAGAACCTGTACTTAGAATATGATCCCACCATTTGTAAGGTACAGGTGCAGGTGAGAAGATTTTAAGCTAGAATGTAAGTTTCAAACTAGTTGAGCTCAGTGCATCCCAAACATACAAGAATGATACCCAATACGAAGGTGAATCAACATGAAATGTTCGAATTCGTATTCGTATGGTTCTACCTACCTTGGGAAGCTTCCAATATTCTTTAAACATTGAAGGACTTCTAATACATAGCTCGCCCTCCAAGTTTGTGTCATTATTGCTCCCATCATCTGAAACAATCTTGGCCTAACACACGAAGAGTAAAGCATGTAAAAGAGAGTTAAAAGGTAGAAACAGATTAGTATATATGATTCAATGGTTAGTAGATCTTTCAATAAGACACTCATTATGTCAGATGCACAGGTTAACCAACACTGGTTTTACTGCCTTGTTACATCTTTGGAGTCAAATTAACAAAAGTAAGCTTATGATACCCATTAATACTATTTAATATCTATGACTATGCACGCTTTTATTATCTATACGACTGCAACAATGTTTTGTCCAAGATAGGAGAAATCAATTAATACCAAGATGCAACACCATTGGCTTTTATTTTTCTTCTAAAGGTCCGTGTCACCCCAAGGCCCCAAGGCCCAGACTAGCTTTAAGAGGCGTCAAGGACTTTCCTTCTTAAGCTCACCCAAAAATTCGAACATACGACCTTTAGATTGGTGTCACTAAAAGACCTTTAGTGTAACAGTCCAAGCCCATCGCTAGCAGATATTGTCTTCTTTGGGCTTTCCCTTTTGGGTTTTCCCTCAAGGTTTTAAAACGTGTCTACTAGGGAGAGGTTTCCACACCCTAATAAGGAACGTTTCATTCCCTCTCCAACCAATGTGGGATCTCACAGTCGCACACTGCCCAGAGTTTGACTTTGATATCATTTGTAACAGCCCAAGCTCACCGCTGGTAGATATTGTCATTTTTGGGTTTCCCCTCAAGTTTTGAAACGCATCTACTAGGGAGAGGTTTCGACACCCTAAAAAGGAATATTTCGTTCCCCTCTCCAACCAATGTGAGATCTCGCATTTAGCCTTTTTTAATATGGCAATCGGGATTACATGCACGTCTTCATCACCACTTACATGGCTAACGATTATGTGAAAAGATAAACAAGTGCTCAATGCATGACTCTCAAAATCTTTGAATGGACGAAATGAACAACTTCCTCGAATTTGGCATTTCCTATCCCTCGACGGAGAATTCTTGACAAGGGCTTCTCGTAAATACCAATCTTTTTTTTATTAATTCAAACAAGAAAATGTTTTTGTAACTTTCTTGAGATATATTATTTAGGGTAAGATCTTATCCCCTTGTTCAGTTTTTGTAAGCTCTCTCTATAAATGCAACAGTCTAATTCATTAGGACAGCTAGAAATAAAAATCTATAGATTTGAATGTAATCTGAATGTTACTTGCACTGTCAAAAATCTTGACAAACCAACAAAGTTACCAAAATCTGTAGATTTGTCTTTTCCATAGTATCAGTACTAACCTCCACACCAGGCAAGGGTTTGCCAACAGTTCCAATCTTTCTCTCACCATTTAAAGGATTTGAAATTGCCATGACAAACTAGAACATAAATATAACCAAGAGAACAGTATTTTTAGTGCTTTTTCTACCAAAAGATGAAAAGAAATAAAATGGCATCATATCATTAGAATACAACCTTGACAAAATCTTAAGCCAAATTCACTTACTTCAGTCATACCGTACCGTTCCAAAAGTTGGTGTCCAGTTACCGCCTTCCATTGTTTCATGATAGGAGGAGGGAGTGCAGAAGAGCCACACATCTGAAGAAGATGGGAGTAAATTTTAAGGCAGAAGTAGGGACATTTGGAAATTGGATACAGTTTAAAAGAGGTTAAAAAGGTCAAATAATATTTTAAAACCCCCAATAATGATGCACAAACTCACCATAAGGCGCAACTGTCTTGCAGCATTGGCAGAAGCAACCTGTAGGTCCGGTTCCATTGCTTCGTAACCTTGTAATAATCGAGCATACATGGTTGGAACCTATAAATCCACAGATACTGAACTTCTCAATATGAATAATGATGCACAAATGTTTGAATAATCGTCAGAAACATGCAAAATAAAGAGCATAACCAAAAAATAACAAATGCATAAAGCAAACCAATTGAATTAAATCGACTAGATATACTTGAGAGTGTTAGATAAGCTTTAGTGTATGTGCTGCATTTATAATGTAGCCATCTAGGCAGGTATAACAAGAAAAAAGACATGCATACTCGACATAAAGATGATGCTAACCCCGGTAAAAATAGTTATAGCATCATCATTCTTAGAACCGTTCGATGGATATGATTCCCGCCACCTTTTCCATATACCACTGACACTAAATTTTGGCATAAACTCCACCTTGATCAAGAACATGAAAAGCAAGCCAAAGTCAAGCAGACTTCGAAATTAAGCGAAAAAATGTAGGCATTAACAACGGCAACGATCTCAATGAAGTTAAATTACCGTGGAACCTGCGTAGATAGGGGCCAACAAGCCATTGAACAGCCCATGAACATGTATATTACTAGTTAAAATCAACAATTTTTCCACTCTATTTTAAATTGATACTGCAACAAATGTACAAAATTCAAGGATATGATGCAGGGGAAGACAATGCAGAAGTTGGTCAGCTGATGTATATTCCCAAGCTTTTGACAAGGTCTGAACCTGAAATAAGACCAAAGGATCCAAAAGGATTAATATTAATTTTGAATGTTGGACCTCATATTTATCACACATGGAAGACCATGCCATACCTGTGAAGTGATGCTTTTATGTGTGTGAACGACTCCTTTTGGTTTACCAGTTGTACCACTCGTATAAATCACCAAGGCAGGATCATCACCTGCACATTTGAAATGAGAAATAAACAAACATAGTCTGGTAGGTACAATGAATAATTTCATAAAGTTAATCAATCATCTATCTTACTCGAATTCTCAACTGTTCCCTGAAAAACTCTTTGTGCATCCATTTCTATATCAGTTGATTGATCACGAGAATTTATTTCTGAATAAATATGAGGAACTGGTGGAATAAGAGAAAACTTTGCAGCTGTTTTAGCAGCAACACTTTGCATAATTTCAGCATGATCTTCAGTACTCAGTATCATCGAGACCTCCTATAGTCAAGTATGATATTAAATACTTTTACGACGTTAGAAAAGGTGTCGGTAGGCAAATAATCCACACTTTACCTACCTATAAAAATAAAAAGGAAGTTCTAGATGCTAACAGATGAAACTAGTCAAAGTAGAACATTCCATTAGTAAGAAAATCATATATGCTTGATTCAAGAGCCAGAAAAATGAGTGATGTAGTAGGAGTTTCTGAAATTTTAGGCGCGTTATAGCTTACACAACCAACAAAGTGCATAATTTAACTCAATAGATTGCAAGTAAAATGGCAATAAGTTGTGAGAGGGTAGGTTCGAGCAAACCGAATCATTCAAGACGTGTAAGAGCTCGGGCTCTGGATAGTTGAGTGCAAGTGGAACAGCTACACCACCACTAAACCAAGTTCCCAGCAATCCAGCAAGAAATTCAGCCGAGGGTTTTGCTATGATTCCAATTTTAGCTCCATCAAGATGCCCATGTCCCTTTCACAACATTTAATAAGATTACAAATCAGTTGCGTGAAAGGCTGAATAAACTATAAAGAACATACTTATCATGCTTAAAGTAAATACAACACGAACTTAAAGTTATAGTAATGCCTCGAGCATCAAACGAAGACTTACGTGGTAAAAATAGTCCATTGTTGACGTTTTCTTAGAAACATAAAAGAACACATTTTGAAGTTAAATGTCTAATAATGTCAACATTTTGATGTTTTATCGTCCACGTTATAAGACATCGATTGGATCTTCTGCTTACTACAATCCTATGACAACAATCACCAAAGTTTACCTCATTCATACAAATATACAAAGCAAATGCCACAGTATCAAACTAGAATATTCAGTTTTCACTATAGAAAGTGGACATACCGTACGCAGATCACAGCTAGTGAATAGATCAGATATCTTTAGTGCAGATGAGATTAGTTGCATGTAACTATGACTTTTCATGTTAGCTCTGATAGCGACATTCTCATGGCAAGTTGACCCGTGGTTGGCAGCTGATTTGACCACCTCCATGAAGGTAGAAGAACTTGATACTGCATAACATGAGAATAAGAACTGGTAAAACAGTTGACACCAAAATCCTATATTTCCAATTGGTTGAACTCCAGTCAGATTCCATGATTGAGCTTAGTTATACATCCGTGGAAGTTATAACACAAAAATACACTAAGATCTAGCCCCACCCCACTCGGACTGAGGTTATAATAGCCCAAGCCCATCGCTAGCGGACATTATCTTCTTTGGGCTTCCCTTTCAGGCTTCCCCTCAAGGTTTTTAAAACGCGCTGCTAGGAAGAGGTTTCCACACTCTTATAATGAATGCTTCGTTCTCCTCTCCAACCGATGTGACATCTCAGAAAGGTAACTGAGGTAACTGAAATGGGAGCAATCGTCATGGCTCAATGAATGGTATCAGATTTAAGGAGATCATATTCATTGAAGAGTAACAATCTCATGATCCAGCTTCAATTATATGCACTAGAATTCTACCACAAAGATCATTTGAACCATAATAACCTAGATTAAGATGCCACCACACTAGCTAAATGGCGGAACCAAAGCGACCAATGTCATAACCGGTATCAGATTGAAGAAGATTATACCCAATACCACTTGTTAAACTATCGATGTGTTTAATGCTTTGCCTAGGTGAAATATTCAAACCCCACCTCCCCTTTTCATCTCAAAACATTTTCTTAGCTTTCGAACACAAGAATCCACCATTACTTCAGCTGGAAATGAACAGTACAAGTTCAAGAATGAAACCCATATAAGAACAATAAAAAACACAATTCCAAATGAGCCATAAACTAAATAAAGAACTGCAAAAAGAAATCCCCACTATTCCCCATCTATACGCTTACCCTGAATAATCAAACAACTAAAAAGCAAGAAAACTCACCTGAAAACAGTCGAGAACGTGGAAAACAGAGCTTAGGAATGCTTCTGTGAAGACGAAGGCAAGTAGAACACGACTGAATGGCGATCAAATGAGAAGGGGCAAAGGATAGATGACAAATATGACGAAATAAATAGGTGGAATAATTAAATGTAAAAGAGTTCATGAAGAAAGGTTAGGTGGGAAAGGAAAAGGAATGGACCAAAGGCGGTGGGAGTAACTGCTTGTATGCAGTATTGGTTATGGCGATTGGAGGCGCAGGATTAATCGTGTGGGGGCTCGTAAATGGCTATTAAATTTGTCATCTGGGGTTTTTACTTTGGGTTTTGGGTTTGTTTCAAAAGATGGTTTGGAAGTAGATTCCGATTTTGCTGGGCTTCGTGGCGATCGCGACGTCCGTGTGTATCGAGCCACCGCCAATAAACGTTGCTTATTTAAGATGCCCACTGCAAACGAAAGCTGCTTTCTCTTTCTCATCCATAAACAGACGGAAAAATGGAGAGAATTAAAAAGCAACTTTTTTCGAAGTTTATCACTGATTTGTGATATAGTTTGATTTGATTTCCCCTCCTCCCCCATCGCTCTCGTTGTTTGTGCCATAAAATTAAACACAATAAATATATGCATATTAATTATCCATAAATAAGGTAATTGGGTCAAATTATGTGAATAATATTATAAATGATGTCACGTTTTTTTTTCTTTCAATTTTTAGAAGTTATATTAAAAACAATTTAAAGTTTAGGAGCAAAACTTTGAAACTTCGACAAATTTTTGCACCACCATTGACTACGGTTGAATTGATGAGAGGATTGAGTTTGTCGTCGTAGTGCTTTGATCGTAGACGTGGTTTGATGTGAAACACTAAAGGAAGTCGTTGTTGAAGCCTCGGGTTAACACCCGTTCGTGCAAAATTGAAGAAGAGGTCATTTTGGTTTAGTTATATTCGTGTAGCTCGTTTTGGTTCACTCTATACTCTAGAAGCCAACCCAGGTGATACGAACTTCAATTATTCTTAAATGGTTAGAAATTTTGAGTAGATAATAATCTAGAGTTATAGTGTTTAGTTAATGTATTTGAAGACTTTTTATTTATTTAAAGGTTACATTTGTATATCGGCTAATTATGGTCATAAAATATAATTTCATAACTTTTAAAATTTTAGCTCATGTACGTTGTTTTGGTGAAGTAGACTTGCAAAATGCCGTAAAATAAAATAAAAAAAAAGCATATGCGCTTTTCTAATAGTAGAATCATTCAAGTTTGACTTGATAAATGTTGCTCGTAAAGTAGTTCAAATAATCTAAATCTTAATTTTCGTTGAGTTGATTCCTTATCGTTGCGCGGTTCTTACTCATCGATCAAATTTCCAAGAGTTACAATCATTTAGAATGAAATCAAATCGATTTTAAGGGTTTTCAATAGGTTTGCGTATTTAGAGCACGGGTTCTTAGATTCAATTGGCTATCAACATTCCATCCTTCTGTCTAAGTTGATGTTGAGTCTTAAAATGACTTTTCATTAAAATTTGTTTTTAAATACGTTTACAGGGCTACCTACCTTCCACGTGAATCCATTAACTTCACTGAGTTCAAATTTCTGGTAAAAAAAAAAAAAAAAAAAAAAATTCACAACATGGGGACCTCCCACTCCATCCTGTGCGCACACAGGTTGGGAAAGCCATTTTCAACTAAATTCCAAAAAAAAAAAAATTATCTAAATTAATGTATTTTTATCAAAACAAAATCGATATTAAAGTGTCTAAATGTTTCATGTGTCCCGAAGTTTATATGTTTAAGACATCGACATCAATTTTCTTATTAAGCTCGTCTGCATATTCAAAACACGCGAGCGTTAGCAGAGTTTAAAAACAAGTGAAAAAACATTAAAATGAAGTATTGGTTCGTGAGTTTTAATCCAGTCTTCCATTGAATTCTTGAAGTTAAGTTTGAATTGAACGACTAAACTACGATTAAAAATTGACAAATTTCATAATAGAAAATGAACCTAAACCACATTAGAGACCATCGGTTCATTTCGGTTTTTGCCTAGCAACACCAAACCAGTAACTTTGGTTTACAGATTAAGACCGACCAGAGTTGAGCAAATGAAGAATCGGTTTTAATCCGAACCAATCCGTTACTTTTCAGCCTCTCTTGGGTTTTGGAAGTTTGAGGCACAAAGTTGCGATAAAAACAGAGGTCGATTTTGAAATCGGAAACGGGGAGAGCTAGAGATGGAGAAACTAAACCTCAGGCCACGCCGAGGATGGAGAGATCTAGCCGATATGTGAGAGGCATGATTTATCTGTTGCTACCGATCGCTCGACAGCGGAGTCACGGCTGCAAGTGAATAGGCATTGTTCTATGATTCTTTCTACTGATCTTCAAATCTAAAATCTACATAGCACAATGTAGTTGCATAACCTCGCTCTCAAAATCAAAATCCAACCTCAGTAAACTAAACTATGCATTACATGATATGAGCCATGAACTTCAAACTCTAGCTACTGAAATTCCTACTGTATACTCAAGAAACCAAGAAATAATATCAAATAAAAGCATAGATTTTATAAGAAACAATGACAGAAATTTTTGAAGCATAAACTGATATAGGTATAAACTACAGAATTGAAGATATAGGATTGGAATGCATTGATGAATCAAACACCAACATCAGTTAAAATTCACACTTTTGACAGTTGAAAACAATTCAGAAACCAACCCAGCAGTTGAAAACAATTCAGAAACCAACCCAGCGGCCAACCCTCTTTACTCACACCACTTTGTAAAATATAACGAAGATAATGAAGATTGTACCAAATCGGACCTTTAAGAACAGGAGCAATTTACTGTCCCAACACATCTGCTACTGATTTGTTGATTATCTGCAAAAGCTCTTCCCTGCAGTGAAAGATAAAGAAGCTAGTTCACGGTTGTTTGCTACAATGAAATGTCATATTCACAAGCTGGTTGAATAAATTTTGCGGCAAGGTGCTAAAGATGAAAAAAATGTCGAAAATACAGGATTGAAAAGACTTCACATGTGAATGAAAAGAAAAATTGAATGAATTTTGCCTTACCGGTTTGGTTTGAACAAGAGGTAGCGATACACGAACCACTGGAATTGAAAAGGGGAAACATTGGTGAGTAATGGAATTTGCTATAGGAGAAAACCATGGCTTCAGAGTTCAAATTTGGTAAAGACAGTAGAGAAATTCTTCATGCTTCTTGTTACTTACCCAAGAAACCAGGATTCCTATGAATTCTAATACACCTGGAAGCAGTGGTAGCTTGTCAACAGCCTAAAAGCGAGAAGGAAACAGTTATGTGTTGAATATGAAAGTAATAAAGCATGAGGAACCACTAAAACCGTCGAAAACTCCATGAGGAATCATCTCGTGTAACGGCTCAGGCCTACCACTAGCAGATATTGTCCTCTTTGGGCTTTCCCTTTCGGGCTTCCCCTCAAGGCTTTAAAACGCATCTGCTAGGGAAAGGTTTCCACACCCTTATAAAAGGGTGTTTTGTTCTCCTCTCCAACTGATGTGGGATATCACAATCCACCCCTCTTCAGGGCCCAGTATCCTCTCTGGCACTCATTCCTTACTCCAATCGATGTGGGACCCCCACCAAATCCACCCCCTTCGGGGCCCAGCATCCTTACTGGCACACCGCCTCGTGTCTACCCCCCTTCGAGGAACAGCCTCCTCACTGGCACATTGCCCAGTGATTTGGCTCTGAAACCATTTGTAACGGTCCAGGCTTATTGCTAGCAGCTATTGTCCTCTTTGTGCTTTCCCTTTCGGGTTTCTCCTCAAGGCTTTTAAAACGCGTCTGCTAAGTAAAGGTTTTCACACCCTTATAAAGGGTGTTTCGTTCTCCTCCCCAACCGATGTGGGATATCACATTTTGTCCCTCATTTATCAAAAGGGGTGATTGTTTTTTAATTACCGTAACAAGATTTGTTGCTGTCCATGCACCTACTACAGCTGCAAATCCCAGGCCAAAAAGTCCCAATCGATCTTCAGGTTGATCCCACTGTCCAAATGAACCATTAAAATACAAATACTTTAAATTAAGGTAAAATTTGCCATCCATAGGATGAAAAATTTGCTAATTGTAACAGAAAGAACAACCAATAAATGTGGAGAATTGAAAACTGTAAATTGCAGACAAAAGAAACTTTTTATCACCCACTTGCGAGGAAAATTGAAAACTGTAGACGCAAAGAAGTCTTCATCAATTTTTCCTCCCAATCAAGATGTTCCAATGTATAAAAAAGGCTTACATAAAGGACAAAGAAATAAAGAGCTTACAACATTTCGAACAGACTTAATAATATCAATGGAAGTAGAAGATTCAGAGCTGTCTCCAATAGCCTTTACAATACCATTGGCAGAACGTCCCTCTGCAATTTTGAGAAATTATTTATACCAACAAGAAGAAGTATGCTAAGCGAGATATGGCGAACTTCAATTAGTTCTCACAATTAAACAGAGGTGCCATACCAAAATGTTATCTACAATAGATGGCTAGGAAGAAAATGTATCATTTAAGATGCAAATTTCCAACCGCAGTTTGTCCGAGGGAACTTGCACAAACCTTAACTATTCTTACAGGACATATTGTTGCCAAGAAAACTCGTAGAATATGAAATCCTCCTAGATGAGTAGCCACCATATTATGAACTCATTTCATCCAACCCATATATTATTTACATTAGTTTACATTGACCACTAGGCCGATCCATAGTAGTCTATACAATCGAGATAAAGCCACCTAAGGGGTGCCAACCACTCGAGGCACTGGGAAGAAACTCCTACTCCTATTGATATACAACAGTCTGCTCTACATAGACCTTCAAAAATTACGAAAAACACAACCCATCAAAGTGAATTGTGACATTAACATTGTGAATATTATGGAAAGAAGCTAGCACTCTCAATTTGTCTAGACTACTTTACATGATATGCATTGGCTATCCCCTTTAGTTTAATGAATAATACCAATGCCGATTCCTATCATCCTGAAAATCAAATTCAAGTCTAAAAGGCAGTTGCAAGGTTTGCTTCTATGAAGAAACTACACAGGGAATGTGAAGCTTCTGGAGGTTGAAGAGAATTATCTCCATTATAGACATTCATACTGATGTTCAAAGCTTCAATATCAACAACCAGTTATGCAGCCTCTCAAAATTTGAAGATTCTAAAGTTTCAAACCTATAATGTGATACTTTCTCCATCTTCCATAATCTTCTAAGAATTGTGCTACCAGATATGAAAATGTAAAGACTGAAAGAGTAACAAGCGCCATTTTCTAGCCCTAATTCAAACTACATTATACCTTAAGACCAAAACTCCTACTGAAAATTGCTTTCAGCATCGCATCGAAATAACCACTTCCATCCACCCACCAATTATGCCCCATGAATGCACAATAAACATAGCGAATCGAACTCAATAAACACGATCGAACAGACATCAATTTCAACGCAGGAATTTCACACGGACGACAAATTAAAGTAATTAGGATTTCTATCCAATGGATAAACTTACTTGCAATGGGAAAAACAGTGAGCTTCTTCTGATAAGTAAACAGAGGAGTGAAGCTTTTGCCAGGGGCCAACAATGGCGGAGGTAGAGTAGCAAAAATGGAAGCCATGATTAGTGAGTAGTAACGGAAATCAATGAAGTTTGAGTGAAATTTACACTCCCAAATAAAAAATTAAGTAGAAAATTTGGGATTATCGGGAACTCGTGGCCTTGGATCGACGAACCTACGCTTGTAGCTATAGAAGATAAGATTTCGGACCTTCGGTGCTTCGGTGCTTCAACCTGCACCACAAAGATTTTGATTTCCAGATTTTTTTCTATATATAATATATATTAGAGAACAAAATCCATTTATTATAAATTTGATCAGATAAAATCTTTATAAATAATCTATTTTTATAAACTACTTATAAAGTTTTATAAAATCAATGATGAATTTAAAAATTCTATATTTCTATAAATAGTAAATACCAAATTTAACATTTTACTTTCCTTTGATTTTAAAACCACTCAAAACTGTTTTAAAATACATATAAATTTTTTTTTAAAATTAATAAAATATAGTATTTTCATGTTATAAACTCAACCGCTAGTTTTACGGGTTATGAATATATATAAAACACATTTTAAATAGTTTTAATTGAAATTAAATTTATAAATATACTAACATATGAAAATATAAAATGCGTATTTTAGTTTTTTTTTTTTTTAATACTTGGAAACAATTATAAGTTGTGGATGATGAAACCTACGTATACGAAATGATCATGGGTTTATAATCAAATAATACTCTTACGAACCCTTTTGGAAAGCTCAAAGCAAAGCCATGAGAGCTTATACTCAAAAGAGACAATATCATACCACCGTGGAGAGTCGTGTTCGTCTAACATAATGAACCAAATTAAAACTCAAATTCAAACTTAATTAATCTATTAATTTTAAAACCTATAAAAACTTAATTGTATCTAAAAGTAGGAACAAAATACTCATAATTTTTTTAAATTTTCAATAAAAACATTTTTTATGTTATTTTTAATACAAACGGTTTATAAATTTTTAAAATTATAAATACTTTTAAGGTCTTAGAATATTCTTTAAAAAAAAATTCAAAAATACATTTAGATTTTTTTAAAAACTTTAAAACACTTTTAATTTTAAAGAATTCAAAAATACCCTTGATAGTAATACTATGTTTCAAAAATATTCACCGAACTTTCCTAAATAAAGTTAAAAGATTTAGAAATAATTTATGAGATACCAATAGACAGTTTTTGTCCATATACTGAAGGTAGAGATATCAATGGATGGTTTTCATTATATATTAAGTATAATATATTTTTTTTAAGGTCTAGATGCTAATACTATGTTTAAATTTTTATGAACATTTTTTAAGCATATAATTAATACAAATAATATTTTTAATGTAACATTTTAAAGTTTAATTATATTTTTAAAATAAAATATTAATACGTTTTATCCAAAACTAAAACCAACTAAAGTTTAAGAATATTTTTATTACTTTAATATATTAATTTAAATCAAATACGAATTATCGTTTTAAAATTAGATAAATTTGATTCATATTTGAATCGTGTCATTGGTAGACCAAATAAATTATTATCGAACATAGGCGTTAAAGATTTGAAGATAGGCGTTAAAAGATTTGAGTGAGTATGTTCCATGTCCAAACAATATCTTAGGACCAATTTAGGATATTCACATAATTTAACGTGGTACGATGAGGGTGACGCAAAACAAACAAATATTAAATTAATTTTGGTCTACCACTAAAGAAAAAGAAGCTCCCAAGACAACACGTTTTTCTTACCTTCTTTTATCCAATTAACTTCTGGCACGTGTCAAGCCGCTGTCCTGACGCCAGCCTTATGAAATTAAATCGGATAGCGACAAAGGACCCAGTGGGCTTGGCTGGTTATTATCCACTGCGTCTCGGTCCCATGGTTTGGCCCACGCTCCTCACAAGCCTCACACCCCGACTTTTGTAATTTATTTAAATCATCTTTAAAATATAATTTTTTTTCATTAAACTATTAGATTAAAAAAAAAAAATTAATGTCTCTTAATATCATTTTTTTTTCAAATTTAATATTAAAAAATGTAATAATTATCATCACGTTATTAGATTTTATGTCAAATATGTTAATGAATTTATATTTCAAATTATAATTTTAATACACATTGTATTATTATAATTATTGGAATAAATTTAAAATTATTTATAATTTAGTCTCTTTTTTTTTCGTCCATAGCACATTAATAGGTGGGGCCAACTCCCAACTTTTTCTAATTTTCCTCTCCTCTTAATATATTTATTTGATAATTTTGAAAAAAAACAAAATAAAATTATAACATTTTTTTTTCTATAATTCAAATTTATTAAAATAATAGTGAAAATGCCACAAATTATTAACGTTAATAAAGAACAAAACATTAAAAAAATTAATAAATAATGAAAGTCTCGCGTCCGCTAATTTAGAGAATGATCATAGTTTATAATAAAAAAAAACAAAATCACGAGAGTTTATTCTCAGAGTGGACAATATCATATCCACATATGATCTCTCAGATTTTATTAGTTTGAACCAATATCACTCGGATTGAGAATTAGAATAACTTAGAAACTTCAGTTTTAGATATGGGGATCTCGTTTCTTTCTTCTTTTAACCTATTTTATTCCATGATTAGATGGTTGATTTCTCTATCACTATGTGCTGACTTGGATATATTTTAATACACAAAGATATTATTTGTTTTCTTTAAAATTAAACGTTCAATCTTTTATTTAGCATTGTGTATCCAACCGATAAAATTATAAATACTTTTGGTTTTTGTAAGGAATTTAATATTTGATTTTTTAAATTAATAACAAATTTGATATCTAAATCATGATTTAGTAATTTGATTTTTTTTCGTTAATATTTACTATTTTCTTAATTAAAATATTATATAATTTAAAGGTTAGAAATTTTAATATAAACATAATTCAAAGATAATTCTTCTATTTGGTCGGATAAAGTCTACAAAGCCACATAAATGATTTTTGAAAAAACATAAATTATTTATACAATCGAGATATTTATTATTGAACAAATTCTTAAATATTTTTTTATTTAAATTACAAATTGAATAACCGAATGTTTTTTTTTATGATTTTAAAAATTATAATATTTTGATAACTAGTTATAAATAATCATAAAATAATGGTAAATAAGTCACGTAAATTTATTATTTATTATTATTATTATTTTGCATGTGCTGTTCAACTGTGAACCATTATAGCCCACATAAATTATGATATTTATCATTATCTTTCTTTTTTTTTTTCTTTTTAAATAAGGAGATATTTATTTTCACTCACTTTCCATTTATACCCTTTCCCCACGTTTCTTCAATGCACTAAATCACTCACCTGTCAATTATTCAACCCACTGTCTATTTAATCTCGTATTTAATAAATTTGATTTATACAATATGACAATTATTTTAGTACATTAATTATTATTGACTTATTCCCAGTTATAAATTCCAATCACTTATTTTCCTCATGGGATAAATATATTATTTAGCATTAAGACAAAATTATTTAGAATTTAATAAATCAATTGAAATATATTTATGTCCTTCTTCTTTTCTTATCTCTTTCAACTAGAGCCATACAATACGTAACATTTGGTCTTATCACGAGATCAAATGATTTTTTTTATAAAGTATATTTCTCTGTTTCCATTTGGTCTAAACTAATAATTTAGCCTTTAATCTTAAAAAATAATGGTAAAACATATTGATTTTATCGTTAATTTAATTTTTGTTTAGCTACATAGATAATAATATTAAAGAAAAAAAAATCTATATACATCACTCACGTTTAAATTGAAAAAATGATAAATATATATTTTTTTAAAGTGAGTGAAGAAGAATAAAAGTTAAAATTAATGGAAAAATTGGCTAAATTTTTTTTGTCCATTCAAAATTGAATAACAAATTTAGCATAGGGCGCATATTCCACCTTTTACTTTTTTTTTCTCTCTTTTTTATATAATTAATTTTATTAAACGTGAAACTTCAATAAAAATTCATACACATAGGAAAAAAAAAAAAAAAAAGAAAAGAAAAAGAAAAATCCACCTCTTGTGTAACGTGAATTTGATGGATCATCAGTATTTCTTTCTATCTTTTTTTTGTTTTTTTTTTCTGGAATGCTAAAATTCCTTTTTCTATTTGCAGAAATATAATTTCAATTTTCAAGGCCCTCGTAGCCCTTTTAATCGCACAGCTATTAATGGCCGTTGTCATGTCCGACAACCGCCCATCTCGCCGTGTTATGAATGTTCCTTCTTCTCCGGCTCTTTCTCTCACCCTTGTACTCATCTTCTTCACACGCTTCCGCTAAATCTTTCTGCAAAAATGCACCTCTAATGGGTTTTTTTTTTTTTTTCTTTTTCTTAGGCTGGGGTTTTCCAGAATGCGGTGGATATGGGCGCCGACGCGCCGGTGAGGAGAGAGGACAGCTGCAGTGACAACTCCGAGCCGGCGGGATCGAGGTCGGCGGAGGATTTGGGCGTCGAGCCTGATGATGAAGATGAAGATAAGGGACTGGGGAATAGAAAAAAGAGGAAGAATCGTCATACTTCAGAGCAAATCAGAGAAATGGAGAAGTATGAAACTCAAATTTCTACACTGTTCATCGTTTATATATGGAAGAAATAGGAAGATTAAACAAAGTTAACGAACGAACTCCATTTCTTGTACTGATTAATGGAAGAAATATAAAGAAAATGGGAATGGATTTAGAAGATTGAAGCAAATTTAGAGGACTATTTGCAGGGTGTTTAAAGAGTCTCCGCATCCAGATGAGAAACAGAGGCAGAAACTCAGTGAGAATCTTGGTCTTCATTCTAAGCAAATCAAGTTCTGGTTTCAGAATCGAAGAACACAAATCAAGGTTTTCAGTTCTGCACATTTTTTCAACAGTTTTTTCTCCTCTGTTTCTTCTTGTTCTTGTTCTTGTTTTTGCTACCTTTATCTGTTTCGCTTTTCTAGGTCAGTCTCGAGCGTCAGGAAATGGAGAAATTGCGAGAAGAAAACCAAGCACTGAAGGAAATGATCAACAAATCTTCTTGCCCTAAATGTTGTTCTTCAGCTAACTCCATCGCCATTTCCATGGATTCCATGTTCACAAGTTCTGACCAAAATCAACAACAATTAGTAACTGAAATAGTTCGACTCAAAGCCGAGGTTTATATTACATCTCTTGTTTTCCTTTCCAATTTCTTCAAATTTATGGGACTA